TCTGAGCAGAATGAACCAACTTCTCATCCAGAGGTGGGGTCAGAAGGAGCTTGGCTCTCATGAGGCTTGCAGAGGCGTGGATGTGTGTTTGTGCATGCACGTATGTGAACACATACATGTTTATGTATGTGTATGCATGTGTATTTGCATGCATGCACCTATGTGCCTATATGTGCACGTGCATGTATGTACGTATGTGCATGTGTGTCTGTGTGCATGTATTTGTGTGTCCCTTGTGTATACATGTGCATGCATACATATGCATGTGTTTGTGTGTGTGTGTATGTATGTGAGCATTGCACATCTGCAGCGTGTGCACTGGAGCTGAGGGGGTCTTGGAGCACTTGGAAGGACACAGAGTCAGACCGACAGACCCAAACCCAACTTTTCTCCTCAGGGCAGCCATGGGCCAGGAGCTTACCTCCTCCGAGTCAGTTTCCTTCTTTGCCAGAAATGCAATGATCCTTTGGAACCACGGCCATGGGGCCAATTGTGGGACATGTGAGACAACACACAAGCACACAGCCAACTGTCCACCCTGTCCCCCCACCCACCCTCATTCCTGCTAATGGACCCCAGTTCTGCCCAATCCTCAGAGTGACTGCCAGATACTCACTTCCCAGCCACCCCCTGCCCCCCAAGCTGCGACAGCAGCCTGGCAAAAGGTTTGGCCAATGTGGTGGACGCAGAAGACTGGCCAGCTTTTGCTCTCCTCACAAGGGGCGCACCCTGTTGACCCCGCCCTTCCCACCTCCTCCTTTCCGCTGTGAGACACTGAGGCACGCTGGCCCCGCCCCTCAGGACGTGGTGAGGAAAGGCAGCCCCACCCCCATTGCCTCGGAAGCAAGTTCTCTATCTTGCACTCGAACACACGCCCAGCTGGCTCCAGGCTGAAGGAGCAGGCTTCCTGTAGGCACCGTATGAGCTGCACCTCCCCAGGGGGTTCCTGGGCCCAAGTCCCAGCCCAGGCCTATGAGCAGTGAGGCCCCAGGTTCCAGGATGTCCCTGGTGGCAGGACACAGAACACATAGTCATTCGTCATTGTTGAGGTGGGTTCTGATGATTTATGTCCAGCTCTTTGGGACCCCATGGACTGCAGCCCGCCATGCTCTTCTGTCCATGGGATTCTCCAGGCAAGAATACTGGAGTGAGTTCCCATTTCCTTCCCCGACCCAGGGCTCAGACCCACGCATCCCACATTGGCAGGGGGGCTTCTTCACCACTGAGCCACCAGGGAAGCCCAGGTTCTGGTGACGGGGTGCCCAGTGGCCAGGGGATGGTCAGGTGCTGCAGAATGGGGAGCAGAGCTGGGGCATGTGTCAGCCCTGGACCCTCTGACATGGTCCTCTCTGCACCAAGCTGGGCCAAATGCAGTCACTGCCATGATACCCTGGAGACGGGGGGCTCTCCAGCTGGCTCTTCCCGGTGTGGGCAGGGAAACAGGCCAGCCAGACCCCCAGGATGGGGGGGCCCACTTCTACACTCAACGTGCTCCCTGTGGGAGGGTACAGAAACCAGGCAACATGGGCCAAGAAAGAGAAACTATCCTCCTCCTGGGCTTCCCAGCACCTTGCCTGGAGCGGGAACCCTCTGTCAGCTCTCGTCCTGCCTCCTGGCCAAGACCTGAGCCTGAGAACAGCCCTGGGGGCTGCAGTCTGGGGCAGGGCCCCCAGAAGCCGGGCCGGGATGTGCCTTCACAGCACAGGCCAAGGGGAAGGGCCGCAGGGGGGCCTGCCCCCGCCCCAACTGTCACTGGGGGTGAGCACTCTGGCTTCCCAAGGACGCACGGTCACATTTTCCCAGGAAATTCTGTAAGGGGCTTGGGAACGTGTGGTTATTTCTTTTCTGAAACTGCCCAGAGACCTAATTATAGGACACAGAGCAGCTGGGCTCAGATCCCTTAGATGTTATGAAAGAGCTAAATGAATGTCAGATTTCTTCTTATGAAAAGAAACAGAAAACTTAACCAGAAAGCAGTGGGTGGGTCAAGGAAAAAAAAAAAGCAGAGGAAATGAAGCAAAGGTGAAGTCAGGGGCATTGGGCAAATGGCCGGCCAGAGAAAAATCCAGAAAAGGCAGCTGGCAGGGGAGAAAGGAGCTCACCCCCGTATAGTTCTGGGGTCAGCAGGGAGCCAGATTCTAGAACATCACCCCATGTCCTGAGTCCCGAGGCCTCAGGTCCATGTGCTTCTGGGCCCTGGCTCATCCTGTGGTTCCCTGACCAGGAGACCCCTGGGGCAAGAGACCCTCTGCTTGTTCCTCCACCCCCCATCCAGCTAACCTTTCTAGGTCTTTCTTTACTGGCTCCTTCTCCCTACTGAACTGTAAATCTGCTGTGACCAGAGACCTCATTTTTACCTTCCCCTCCTCACCCTGCCTGGTGCTTAAACAGCATCACCTCCTATGATTCAGAAAGTGGTACCAGCACCAGCTTCTCCCCTGAGCTCCAGACCCATGTATCAATCACCCGGATGAATGTCCAAGGGCCTGACTTGAGCAGACCCTTCCCTCCTGTGTGTGGACGTGGAGACACTGGTTTCCAGGGAAACCACATTAAGGAGTTTGGGTGTCCTTCCAATGAACCATCAGATGGTCTACTGGACCCGCAGCCCACCGCTCCATCACACATCCTCCCTCTCCTTTAAAGTCCCCGTTGCACCCACCACCCTGGTGAGGATGCCACCATCCCCCGACCCCCAGTCCTGATGCCTGGCCTCTCTCTCCTGGTCTGTCCCACATCCTTCTGCTCAGACACTCTGGAAAAACGAAGTGAAGTCGCTCAGTCATGTCCGACTCTTTGCAACCCTATGGACTGTAGCCTACCAGGCTCCTCCATCCATGGAATTTTCCAGGCAAGAGTACTAGAGTGGGTTGCCATTTCCTTCTCCAGGGGATCTTCCCAACCCAGGGATAGTTCCCAGGCCTCCTGCATTGCAGGCAGACGCTTTACCATCTGAGCCACCAGCATATGTCTAAGCTGGGCTCCTGCAAGAGGAAAAGGCGGATGGGAGTCCTGTCCTGGCTGCCGGCCCCGGGACCCTTTCCCACAGCTCTCCACACCTCTCCTCTCCTCTCCGCACCCACTGCCCCAAGCTGGAGGCCCTCCCTCTCTCGTCTCTCACTGAGCCATCGTCCGAGCACGGGCCGAGCATCTCCCAGGCAGTGCTAATTCCCCAGGATGTCCAGCCCTGCCTGAGGACAGATGTGAGTCCTCAGAGCTGGATCCTGGGGAGCAGGGATGGGGGGGCTGGCAGGTGCGGAGCCCACAGAGGCATGGCAATCCCACGGATGTCCATGAAGTACTTGGTGGAGCCGTGGGACAGCAAGACTGCAGGACTCAGCAGGCAGCAAAGAAAGTCATGACAGGACATTAGTTGCCACTTGACCAGTTCAGACCATTGACTCAAATCACTTGGAAGGACGTCTGGGGCCTGACTTGCACGGACCCTTCCCTCCAACATGCATAGACGGAGCCTCTGGTTGCCAGGGCAACTGTATCTGCATGTCCTTCTGTTGTACCAGTGCATCCCTTGGATGCCCCCAGGGCCCAGGGCCCACAGGAGGACACGACTGCCCCCTGAGGGCATTGCTCAGCCCTGGAGAGCTGTGTCAGAAGTGGGTATGGACAGGAAGGAAGCCAAACCCACCGCCTCAGCTTCCTGATGCAAGCACTCCTGAGGGCAGGACCATTGGGCACCCTTGACATTTAGAGGGACTGAAATGCTCCAGAGAAATCACATTTTGATCTTCGTGAGATGTAAGCTCATTCCTTAATTCTTCAATTTGCAATAACTCAGAAAATCCTCCTTGTCAGGTGTCTGCACCTACTCTATTGGGTGTTTGAAGTTCTTAGAGAGAAAGTCAAATTATTTAGTTTGTGCATGCATGTTAAGTCACTTCAGTTGTGTCCAACTCTGTGTGACCCTATGGACTGTAGCCCACCAGACTCATCTGTCCATGGGATTCTCCGGGCAAGAATACTGGAGTGGGTGGCCACGACCTCTTCCAAGTTACTTCGTTTAGAAATACAGTTTTAGTTATATGGGGAATTTAACTAAGTTTGTAAGTAAAACTAAGAATTTCATTTAACTTAAATTAATAACAATAGTTAACTTCTTAAGCACAATTACATTTAATGTAACATTTACTAGATTTCTAAGAAGGATAACGTGATTTTGGAAAGAGATTTCTAGGTGGGTAGCTTTATCACATCAAGGATTCAGAGTTGATTCAGAAAAGGCTCTTCCCTGGAGCATTCTGCTGGGACCACAGCGTGGGCACCGTGGCGCAGCAGGACAACCCCCCCCTCCCCGATCCCCGAGAGGTCACCCCTCTGACGCCCACAGTGAGGCCCGTCTCCCCGGCTCTTCAGGCAAAGCTGAGTGCGTCTTCCCCTGTCCACATGAGGGCCCCCATTTGGGGACAGGCCCTTCCCCTGGACGGGTCACACCTGGCATGTGTGGCATCTTCATCTTTAAGACCACCTGCCTCCAGGGGCGGAAAGAGGCCAGAGCCAAAAGGAGCCTTTGAGGAGCTGGACGCCCCTGCCCTCAGCCACAGGGCCCAAGATGAGGTACCAGCTTTCTGGTCTCCCCAGTTCCAGAAGGATCTCCTGGCCACACAGGGGTGCCAGGGGTCATTGTGGACGCTGGCTGGTGCTCTCCGGGCAGGATGGGGAGTGGTGTCCTGGGTGTCAGTAGAGACATGTTCTCACTGCTTCCCTCACACCTGGTGATGGAACCACAGGTTGAGTTCCCTGGTCCTCAGCAAGGAATGAGCAAGGCTCAGCCAGGAAACATATCCCAGACCCCGAGCAGGACAGGTGGAAGCCCAGGGCCCTCCGCAGCAGGGTCTGCATGGACCTCGGCCTAGTCCTTCCAGAGGACGGAGCGCACCCTCTGTCCCCTGCAGCTGGGGGAGCTCCATCCAGTGATGAGGTGCAGACCACCCATGGAAAGCTCCAGAAGCCAAGATGCTGTGGAGGAGGCCCTGAAGGGAGCTTTACTTCACATCCCAGACCACACGGACCCCAAACTCGGAGCCGGACCGCTTCTCCCAGAGCCGGTCCTGGAGCGGAGACACGGGGAAGCGGGCTGGTGAGGGCCAGCAACCTGTGAATGAGGCCCCCTGCCAGTCAGCACCCTCTCAGGGTCCATGCTGACCACAGCAGGCCCCCGAGGCCGGATCACACTCAATGACACAGGCGATGTGCCCACACTGCCCGCTGACCACGTGGCCTCTTGGGGACATCAGCTCACCCTCACGTACCTGGGGCATCACCAGCCTGTGTCATCCAGGCCTTTGCCCGCCTGCCACCCTCTGGACACTTGCTGTCAGCCCTGAACCCCATTCAGCAGGGCCTGTCCTCCCTGGACCCTTCTCTTCCCTGAAAGGCAGGCCCCATCCTCAGCGACAGCCACAGAGCATCCCCTGTGCCTGCAGGCAGAGGGGCGCCCCCGCTCAACATGAGCATCGGGGCTCCAGGGAGAGACTGGGAGGAGGCAGGTACAGACCCCGGAGCTTCCTGGGTGTCCACTGCTTCCTGTCTGGGCTTGATCAAGACCACCCAGAGGAGGGCCGCATCAGCAGGCTCTCTGGGGTCCTGGGACGCTACACTTGTGGATTCTAGGGCCGCCCCCATCCCCCCGGGCCCTGGCACCACTGTCAGCTGGGCGGGCCCAGCCTTCTCACTGCATAACACACTCACTTTGCACTGATTTTGTGTCTTCATGGAAAGACCCCCTTTCTCACCACCCTGCATGCATATGTGTTCAGTCGCTCCATTGCGTCTGTAACCTCACGGACAGAGCCCTCCAGGCTCCTCTGTCCACGGGATTTCTCAGGCAAGAATACTGGAGTGGGTAGCCATTCCCTTCTCCAGGAGATCTTCCCAACCCAGGGATTGAACTGGTATCTGATGCATTGGTAGGTGGATTTTGGGAAACCTACAAGATACAAAAAGACCAAGACCCCAACTTCCACTTCTAAAGAGTTGGGAGAAAAAGCATGGTACTGCGCATGCCCCCTGCACACAACACCACTAAAGGGGTGGGCAGACCACCTAAGCCATCGCTCCAGACTGCCCCCTGGACCCACCCCACCCTCACCCCACCTTGGAGAGCAACCAAGAGAACCTATTACCTGTTCTCATGCCTCCTGCCGCAGCAGGAGCCCCAGTAAAGCCTTGTCTGAACTACTTCTGTGGCTCTGATAAATTTCTATTGATTGGGGAAAGCCAAGAACCCTGGCCAGTGTCACCTCCAGCAGGGAGACCCTAGATCTGACCCACACGTGCTTCCAACAAGCCTGCCTCAGAGTTGAAGTTTCAGTTTTTTCAGACACAGAGCATAGCAGAGAAAACCCTCTGCTAAAAAACACCTCACTTTGGATGCCAATCTTGTCCCATGTTTTCTGGGAATGTTGATTTCATGGTGTGTTCAGTCCATAAAATTCCAGGAGCTACACACTTAGGATATGTGCACTTTACTGTATTAAATCAGATTTCAATAAAACATTTTTAAAAACTGCATTTCAAAGCAATTTTCCCTAAAAAGGTCTTCCTCCCAAATGCTTTTGAGTTATTCTTCTCCTTCCTCAAAGTTTCTGGCAGTTAGAGCCTCAGTCCCCATTTAAATCAGAAATACAGTAGTTAAGAAAAAATTTCCCTTTAAAATGATTTATAAATAATGGAGTGCTGGGCAACTATCACAGAGAAAATCACGTCTCTTTACGAACTGATATAAACAAGTCTTCAAAGTGCTCTGTTAGGGAACAGACTCAGGTATATAGGAAGGTATATTTGCATTATTAAAAGCTGAAGAAATAGTATATATATTCCAGATTGTATATACACAGAGGTACCCAGGACACCAGAAGAAGCTGAGATCCCTGGGTGACAGGAAGGCACTCTTCTGCACAGGTGAGGACAGGGCTGAGAGAAAGATGCTTCTTTCCATTGTGTTTCCTTTTATATCTTTTGAATTTTGTTCCAGGTGAATTGCTGTGTATTAAAAGCCAATTTGAAGGACTACCCCGGCAGCCCAGTGCTTAGGACTTCAACTTCTAATGCAGGGAGTACAGGTTTGATCCCTGGTCAAGGAGGTAATATCCCACATGCCTTGAGGCAAAAAAATACAAACATAAAACAGAAGCAGTACTGTGACAAATTCAATAAAGACTTAAAAAGTGGTACACATCAAAATAGCTTTTAAAAAATTAATTTGATTTTTAAAGGGTAAACCTTGTAAAATGAAGGTCGTGTTTCTATCTTCACCTATTCTCAGATCTGCTTCATTTTTCCTGGGCTCCTCTTACCTTAAATGAAGAATTCAGAATGATTCCTACAAATTTCCTTTGTAATATCAAATGGCAAACATCGTAACCTTGAAGCATCAGGGCTTGCTCTTCAACAGCTGAAAGAAAAAGATGTCATTGTTCCTGAATTTAAAATATGCAGGAATGCACCTGCTCTAAGCACAATCTGATCAACATTCCCCAAATGACACATAATCAGAGCTTCTTTTTTTCATTAAAAAAGAGACATACTTAAGCTGTGTAAAAAAGTATGACAATTTCTTTAAAAAATAAACATAAAGCTTCCATATGACTCAGTTCTGGGTATATATCCAAAAGAATTGAAAGCAGATCTTCAATCAGATATTTGCACATCAATGTTCAGAACAGCGTTATTCACAGCTAAACTGTGGCAACAGCCAAGTGTCCATTGACAGCTGTGTGGATAACAAGACATGGTTCATCCACACGAGCAAAGATTATTCAGCCCCGAAAAGGAAGGAAACTCTGACACACGTTACAGTCGGGACAGACTTTACAGACATCATGCTAAGTAAATAGCTCAATTCAGTCACTCAGTCATGTCCGATTCTTTGCAACCCCATGAACCGCAGCACGCCAGGCCTCCCTGTCCATCACCAACTTCCGGAGTTTACCCAAACCCATGTCCATTGAGTCAGTGATGCCATCCAACCATCTCATCCTCTGTCGTCCCCTTCTCCTCCTACCTTTAATCTTTCCCAGCATCAGTGTCTTTTCCAATGAGTCAGCTCTTCGCATGAGGTAGCCTAAGTACTGGAGTTTCAGCTTCAGCATCAGTCCTTCCAATGAACACCCAGGACTGATCTCCTTTAGGATGGACTGGTTGGATCTCCTTGTAGTCCAAGGGACTCTCAAGAGTCTTCTCTAACACCACAGTTCAAAAGCATCAGTTCTTCAGCACTCAGCTTTCTTTACAGTCCAACTGTCATATCCATACATGACTACTGGAAAAACCATAGCCTTGACTAGATGGACCTTTGTTGACAAAGTAATGTCTCTGCTTTTTAATATGCTGTCTTTTTAACATGCTGTCTAGGTTGGTCATAACTTTCCTTCCGAGGAGCAAGCATCTTTTAATTTCATGGCTGCAGTCACCATCTGCAGTGATTTTGGAGCCCAGAAAAATAAAGTCAACCACTGTTTCCACTGTTCCCCATCTATTTTCCATGAAGTGATGGGACCAGATGCCATGATCTTAGTTTTCTGAATGTTGAGCTTTAAGACAACTTTTTCACTCTCCTCTTTCACTTTCATCAAGAGGCTCTTTAGTTCCTCTTCACTTTCTGCCATAAGGGTGGTGTCATCTGCATATCTGAGGTTATTGATATTTCTCCTGGCAATCTTGATTCCAGCTTGTTCTTCATCCAGCCCAGCATTTCGCATGATCTATTCTTCATATAAGTTAAATAAGCAGGGTGACAGTATACAGCCTTGACACACTCCTTTCCCGATTTGGAACCAGTCTGTTGTTCCATGTTCAGTTCTAACTATTTCTTCCTGACCTGCATACAGATTTTTTTAAGAGGCAGGTCAGGTGGTCTGGTTTTCCCATCTCTTGAAGAATTTTCCACAGTTTATTGTGATCCAACAGTCAAAGGCTTTGGCATAGTCAATAAAGCAGAAATAGATGTTTTTCTGGAACTCCCTTGCTTTTTTTGGTGATCCAGAGGATGTTGGCAATTTGATCTCTGGTTCCTCTGCCTTTTCTAAATCCAGCTTGAACATCTGGAATTTCATGGTTCACGTACTGTTAAAGCTTGGCTTGGAGAATTTTGAGCGTTAGTTTACTAGTGTGTGAGATGAGTGCAATCATGCATTAGTTTGATCATTCTTTGGCATTGGCTATCTTTGGGATTGGAATGAAAACTGACCTTTACAGTCCTGTGGCCACTGCTGAGTTTTCCAAATTTGCTGGCATACTGAGTGTAGCGCTTTCACAGCATCATCTTTTAGGATTTGAACTAGCTCAACTGGAATTCCATCACCTCCACTAGCTTTGTTCATAGTGATGCTTCCTAAGACCCACTTGACTTCACATTCCAGGATGTCTGGCTCTAGGTGAGTGATCACACCATCATGATTATCAGGGTCGTGAAGATCTTTTTTGTACAGTTCTTCTGTGTATTCTTGCCACCTCTTCTTAATATCTTCTGCTCCTGTTACATCCATACCATTTCTGTCCTTTATTGTGCCCATCTTTGCATGAAATATTCCCTTGGTATTTCTAATTTTCTTGAAGAGACCTCTAGTCTTTCCCATTCTATTGTTTTCCTATATTTCTTTGCACTGATCACTGAGGAAGGCTTTCTTATCTCTCCTTGCTCTTCTTTGGAACTCTGCATTCAAATGGATAAATCTTTCCTTTTCTCCTTTGCTTTTTGCTTCTCTTCCTTTCACAGCTATTTGTAAGGCCTCCTCAGACAGCCATGTTGCTTTTTTGCATTTCTTTTTCTTGGGGATGGTCTTGATCCCTCTCTCCTGTACAATGTCACAAACTTCTGTCCATAGTTCATTAAGCACTCTACAGATCTAGTCCCTTAAATCTATTTCTCACTTCCACTATATAATCGTAAGGGATTTGGTTTAGGTCATATCTGAATGGTCTAGTGGTTTTCCCAACTTTCTTCAATTTAAGTCTGAATTCGGCAATAAGGAGTTCACGATCTGAGCCATAGTCAGTTCCCAGTCTTATTTTTGCTGACTGTATAGAGCTTCTCCATCTTTGGCTGCAAAGAATATAATCAATCTGACTTCTGTATTGACCATTTGGTGATGTCCATGTGTAGAGTCTTCTCTTGTGTTGTTGGAAGAGGGTGTTTGCTATGACCAGTGTGTTCTCTTGGCAGAACTTTATTAGCCTTTACGCTGCTTCATTCGGTACTCTAAGGCCAAATTTGCCTGTTACTCCAGGTGTTTCTTGACTTCCTACTTTTGCATTCCAGTCCCCTATAATGAAAAGGACATTGTGGGGCGGGGGGAGGGGGGGTTGTTAGTTCTAAAAGTTCTTGTAGGTCTTCAGAGAACTGTTCAACTTCAGCTTCTTCATCGTTACTGGTTGGGGCATAGACTTGGATCGTGATATTGAATGGTTTGCCTTGGAAACAAACAGAGATCATTCTGTTGTTTTTGAGACTGCATCCAAGTACTGCATTTCAGACTTTTGTTGACCATGATGGCTGCTCCATTTCTTCTAAGGGATTCTTGCCCATAGTAGTAGATATAATGGTCATCTGAGTTAAATTCACTCATTGCAGTCCATTTTAGTTCACTGATTCCTAGAATGTCGACGTTCACATTTGCCATTTCCTGTTTGACTGCTTCCAATTTGCCTTGATTCATGGACCTAACATTCCAGGTTGCTATGCAATACTGCTCTTTACAGCATCGGACCTTGCTTCTATCACCAGTCACATCCACAACTGGGTATTGTTTTTGCTTTGGCTCCATCCCTTCATTCTCTCTGGAGTTATTTCTTCACTGATCTCCAGTAGTATATTGGGCACCTACTGACCTGGGGAGTTCCTCTTTCAGTATCCTATCATTTTGCCTTCTCATACTGTTCATGGGGTTCTCAAGGCAAGAATACTGAAGTGGTTTGCCATTCCCTTCTCCAGTGGACCACATTCTGTCAGACCTTCCCACCATGACCCGGCCATCTTGGGTGGCCCCACACGGCATGGCTTAGTTTCATTGAGTTAGACAAGGCTGTGGTCTATGTAATTAGTTTGGTTAGTTTTCTGTGACTGTGATTCCAGTCTCTCTGCCCTCTGAAGCCCTCTCTTAGTGCCCAAAATCTTACTGGGGTTCCTCTTACTTTGGGGTATCTCTTCACGGAGATACTAAGTGAATCAGCCAGACACAAAATGACACGTGCTGTGTGATGTCAGCTATATAATGTGCCTAAAGTGGTCAAAGTCACAGAGACAGTGGCGGGGTGGCTGCCGGGGCTGGGGGAGGGGGTAGGAGTGAGTGTTTGGTGGGGACAGAGTTTCGGTTCTGGAGACAGATGGTGAGATGGAGACACGGCAATGTGAGCATGCGCCTACCCCTGAACTGGACACCGGAAAACAGTTAAAATGGTAAATTTTCAGCTAAATGGTAAATTTACATTTTGCCATAAGATTTTTAAATCTAAAAGATATTTTTGAAAAGATACAAATGAGCTTATTTATAAAACAGAAATGTTCCTCACGGACATAGGAAACAAGTGTTCCTCATGGACATATGGTTACCAAAAGGGAAGGGGGTAATTAGGAGTTTGGGATTAATGTACACACAGTACTATAGGCAAAGCAGATAACCGACAAGGACCTACCATCCAGCACAGGGAAATGTACTCAGTATTTAGTGATAGCCTGTAAGGAAAAAGAATGAAGAAGAATGTGTGTGTGTGTGTGTGTGTGTGTGTGTGTGTGTAGCTGAAACACGGTGCCATACACCTGAAATTAACACACTATTGTAAATCAGCTATACTCAATACAATTTTTTAAAAAAAAATAGATCATTTTTTAAAAAGCATATTTGATGAAAAGCACCCTCTTTAAGCAGAGTAAGCATTTGTAAAGACTCGGGAGCTGACGCGAGTCACAGCACACAAGCCCACTCTGCACGTGGTGGCGTGACACGTCAGCTTCTTCCCCAGCCTGTGAAGACGGGTGTGAGGTGTTTATAGGCCTGGCCATGGCTAACGGACAGACCTGTCCGAGGATGCAGCGCTGGGCCCTGGCTGTCCTGTCTGCAAGATGAGACCATGGGCTCCTCCGTCCTTACTCCCTCCCCTCCTCCTCCATCCATCCTCCCTCCCCCTCCTCCCCTCTCATGATGGGCTCACCTGAGCCGGCTCTGCCTGCAGCCCACCCGAGGAGCTTCCCGGCCGCCTTCCCCTTTAGCTCAGTCAGCCTCCAGTCACAGAGTAAGTTAAATGTTTCACAAAGTCAGTTTCCCTATCCTCAGTCTCCTGGAAGCTCAGACGTCTGGGGCGGGTGTGAGAGGAAGGGAGCACTTCTGTCCCCACCTCGCCTCCCTCCACCCCGCAAAGGGGCCCCTGCCAAGGCAAGCAGGCGCAGGTCCTCACCCAGACCCTGAAGCTGTTTGCTGCGGAAGAGGGCGCAGGAAGTCAGGACAAGCTGGGCCGGAGGGGAGAGCACTCCCAGCCCCACCCGAGCCCTCCTTGCTTGGGGGCCCTCCAGGAGCTCAGAGCTGGGACAGCGCGCTCACCGTGCGGCCACAGCCCGGCCCCGGGGCTTGGGGGGCTTTCACGGCTCTCCCCGGGGCTGTGCGCAGGGCCAGCCCCAGCCCGACTCCTTCTACGCCCGGGATGAGAGACCATCAGGGAACAGGACAGACCAGTGCTGCGTCCCTGGAGCCCCCAGCATTGGACCCGGAGGCCTCAGACAGTCTTAGCTCACCAGGGCCTCACCCCTGCCAGTTCTCACAGTGGAGGCTGAGGTCTAGAGAGGGGCTCCCGGGCATGCTCACTCCCCATGCGTGCTGCGGGCCAGGGCTGGAGGCTGACCCCCACGCTAGAGGGCAGGAGCCCCAAGCTCAGCGCTGAGAGAAGTGGAGGATCACGCTAACTTCCCGTGTACCTCATTACGGAGCAAAGCAGCTACGGACCCTGCAGAGCCTTCGAGGGTTTTATCAGAAAGTGTCGACCTTGGATTCATCTGGGAGAAGAGAATCAGCCAGTCGACCAGCCCCGACTGCATGTCCAGGTGACAAGCTCTGGTCTGGTCTGGGCCAGTGACCCATCATCAGCGGGCATTTCTTCTAGAAGCCAGGATTCATCCAGGTGGAAACCTGGGCCTTAGATGCGGGGACTCTCAGCTGAAAGCCCTTACTCTGCAGACAGGTCGTGGCTTCTAGGGAGGGAGGTGACTTCCCGAAGACCAGCCATCCACAGGTGAGAACCAGGATGAATCTGGGTCCGAGAGCCACCCCACCCTGCTCTTTCAACTAACAAAGAATCTCCCAAGTTTCTGGGCAAGCTCCTTTATGCATCTGAAAAGATAAGTAGTAACAGCTAGAAAGGCAGTTGAAGAGAAATTTAGGTACTCGCATCCTGGTTTTAACATATACTGATCCAATGCAGGGCTCTTGGATGTAAACATGAAAAGGAACAAAAATTAAAAAGAAGGAAAACCTAGGCTAGAAACATTTCTAAACAGGCACTCACGGCTTGGTACACAGACGCTGTTAACTTTTGCAGGACTTCTGCCAAGTCTTCCCCGGCCATCAGTGCATGAAAACAATGTAATATAGCGATTCAATTTTCTAAAGAATCAGTTAGCAATTAAACCGAGAATGTTTGGGAACAGATATTAAATTCTAAAGAGAATTGCCATTTAAACTTTAACTTTTCTGAGCAACAAAGGAATAATAGGGAACAGCTAGAAAGTTTCTCTTGAATTTCAGTGAGGAAATTATAAAAATTGAGGTCAAAGGCCCTTTGGGATTCTTTAAATGAATCAGTAACCTTGATATGGTACTAGAAAGCAACAAGGGCATTTAGGATTGTCTTGTGGGGTGCTCATTTGCTCTTGTCCCAGTTATCAGATCTGGGGAAATCCAAGAAATTCTTGGCACACTGGTTATGGATCATTTTGTTGTTCAGTTGCTAAGTCATGTCCCAGTCTTTGTGACCCCATGAACTGCAACAAGACAGGCTTCCCTGTCCTTCACCATCTCCTAGAGTTTGCTCAAACTCATATCCATTGAGTCGGTGATGCCATCCAACCATCTCATCCTCTGTGATCCCCTTCTCCTCCTGCCTTCAATCTTTCCCAGCATCAGGGTCTTTTCTAACCGAAAGTCCCAGTTGTTCTAAGCAGATGGTTCTAGAAACACAGTACAGCTCCATAGGAAAAGTAAGCTTGAGCAAGAATCATCCACCTACTTCTTCATTCATCCAAAGAACTCAAGGACTTAGAACCTGCCACACCTGGGTTCATACATGGCCACTGGAATACTGCAGTGTGGAACCCACTTCCTGGGGTTTGCCTTCCAGGGCCAGAAGCCTCAAGACTGCAGTCCTTAGACTCCACTTTCATTGAAGAGGTCCAGCCTCCACTTCAGCCTCCAGCCCAGCATCCAGCTCAGGCATGGGCAGTTAACCCGAGTCAGTGCCTCCTCTCACATGTTAAATGTGTGTTAGCCCAGATTGCCTCCAATCCCACCAGCACCCCAAGTTGTGGCCGTGGCGGCCAGGACTCCATTGCAGTAGTTGGAGCTTTAATAAGTCCCCGGTGCCCTCTTGTTCCACCAAATGTGTCCGACCCATTCACCCGGCTCTTCCAGGTTTTTCTTTGTGTCCACACATAAACACACCATGAATTTATCAGAAAGGGGCTTTGGAGATGTAATTAATCGCTACAAAAATTTGCTATTTGTGCTGACTGTCAACTGCTCAGGCTGAAGTATGTCAAAGTCAGCTATCTATTCAGAACCAGGATAACTGGGACCAATAAATCAAGCATGGTGTGTGCGTAGACCCCACGAGAGAACTGGGTCCACTGCTGGATATTCTGCTTGAAGGAGGAACATGGAAAACGTAAATAAAGCTCCATCGGGGAAAAATGGCCCCAAAATTGAAAATGCTAAAAAAAAAAAACCAAAAAACCCCAACACCATGCAGAGAATGGTTGCAAGAACTTGTGTGGGGATCCTAAAGGAAGGGGCTGTGTTTCCTCAGTGGGATTCTTCCGAGGGGAACCAGGCCTGGTGGGTGGAAGTGACTGAAGGTGGTTTATTCACTCGGCAGGAAGCTGTTCTTGGCATAAAGGAATGGACGTGTCGGAGTGTAGATGGGTCACCTCAGGGGTGGTGGACCCCACGAGTCTGTCCTTCTAAATTATCCCTCCCACCTCACAAATCCTGCGACTTCCTGCAAGGGGCTCTGCCCCCGTGTGTAAATGAAAGCTTCCCGTGGCCCCCACTCCCCTCCAGGCACCCCCGAGCCCTCTCCTCCTTCAGCGACAGACTTCTGCAAGGATGGGTCCCTGTTTGCTCCGCACACGCACCCACGTTTTCTCCTCCTCCTCACCCGCCCCTCGGGCTCCGGCTTCTCAGAGGCTGCTCCTCCTCCTCAGCCGAGTCCACAGGCACCTTCCCTCCTCATCTTCAGCCCTTTGCATCCTCATCTCAGCCCCGGACCCACGCCGTCCTCCTGCCGCTCCTGCAGGGCCACGTCCAAACCGCGTTCCCTCCCCACCACCCCGCGGCGGCCCTGAGTAACCCCGCCAGGACCGCCCTGCACCCTCTCCTCCCCTCACTCTGACCTCCAGAAGCAAGCTCCTCCATCCCAGGTGGTGTGGACTGACGGTGTGACTCACAGACTCACGTTTAGTCCAGACTCCTCCCCCGAGCCCCAGACCTGACTATCCGACAGCAAGGAGGACACCTGCCTGTGAAAGCTGTAAAGACGCCTCTGGCTGAACTCCGGACACCCCCTGCCCCCCACCCCCCGCCCCGACCATGCACCTCCCTGATGTGGTCCTCCTCTAGGGTCCTCACGAGTTCACAACCAGGGTCTCAGAAGTCATCCTCTCTCTCTCTCTCTCCACATATCTAACACCAAATCCTGCTCACTTTAGCAGCTGTGTTTTGCTCTTATTTGCTCTTGTTTATCTTCATCCCCACTGCCAGCCCCATAATGCCATCAACCCCAGCTTCTCTCAACTTGATGCCTGCGATCGCCTCTGACTGATCCACTCCCTGCCTTCTGCCCTTTGCACTGCTGCCCAGATGATCTCCAAAAGCTAAGTCCATGATGTCAGCTTCTTCCCCTGCAAGCTCTTCCCAAGCCCCCCCATCCCGTTATGCCCCCCCCACCTGCCTTCCACTCGCTTCCCTCACCTTTGCAGCAGCCCCACCACCAGCACATCGTCCCCCCTTCACCTAGTTCCCTCTATTCACCCACTTTTCCCTGCAAAGCTCTCCAACCCCCTTGACCAGGTCAAGCTTCCGTTTATCACAAGCTCTCTACACCACACAGCACGTCTCTATCTCCATCAATTGCCTCTCTGTCTGCAGCGTCTAAGGAAAGAAAACCAGATCAGATTTCTCTCCTGCAACATCGGCCAGTGGATTCTCACCTACGCTCAGAACAACACTTACCTTCCTAACCGTGGCCTCTGAGGCTCCTGTCATATGACTGCTGACTTGATCTTCCATGGGGTCCCGAGTCTGCGCTCCTCACATGCTCCTGAACACGCAGCTCTGGTGGCCTGAAAGCTTCCACAAACCACCCCCTCATCCTGGAAGGAAGAAGCTGGAGCTGTTCATCCTTTCGGGAGCCTTTGGGGTCTGTGTAGTAGGACCCCTTCACGTGTGATCTATCCTCTTATCAGAACTGAAGTGTGTAATTCAGCTTGGATAGTGGGTTCTACAGAGAAGGCAATGGCACCCCACTCCAGTACTCTTGCCTGGAAAATCCCATGGACGGAGGAGCCTGGTGGGCTGCAGTCCATGGGGTCGCAAAGAGTCGGACACAACTGAGCGACTTCACTTTCACTTTTCACTTTCATGCATTGGAGAAGGAAATGGCAACCCACTCCAGTGTTCTTGCCTGGAGAATCCCAGGGATGGGGGAGCCTGGTGGGCTGCCGTCTATGGGGTCACACAGAATCGGACACGACTGAAGCGACGCAGCAGCAGCAGCAGCAGTGGGTTCTACAGGCAGTGCTGTGGAGCGGCATCTAGACCTGATTCCTCTCGGGTAACTGAACCTTCACACCACTGAACCATGTCTCCCCACCCCCTCCTCCCAGCCCCTGGCAAGCACCACTCTGTTCATAGCTTCTATGAGCTTGACTGTTTTATAAACCTCGTATAAGTGGAATCATACAGTATTTGTCTTGTTACTGGCTTATTTCCCTTAGCCTACTGTCCACCAGAAAGGGCTTCCCTCGTAGCTCAGAGAGTAAAGCATCTGCCTGAAATGTGGGAGACCCAGGTTCAACCCCTGGGTCGGGAAGATACCATGGAGAAGGAAATGTCAACCCACTCCAGTATTCTTGCCTGGAAAATCCCATGGACAGAGGAGCCTGGTATGCTACAGTCCATGGGGTCGCGAAGAGCCGGATACGACTGAGTGACTTCAGTTTCACTTTCACTGTCCTCAAGTTTCAGAGACATTGTCACATATGGCTGCGTTTCCTTCTTTCTTATGGCTGAGTCTGTTGTTCAGTCACCCAGTCATGTCTGACTCTTTGCGACCCCATGGACTGCAGCACGCCAGGCCTCCCTGTCCATCACCAACTCCCAGAGCTTGCTCAATCTCATGTCGACAGAGTCGGTGATGCCATAAAGCCATCTCATCCTCTGTGGCCTTCTTCTCCCTCTGCCTTCGGCCTTTCTTGGAATCAGGATATTTTTCAGTGAGCTGGCTCTTCAAATCGGGTGGCCAAAGGATTGGAGTTTCAGCTTCAGCATCAGTCTGTCCAATGAATATTCAAGACTGGTTTCCTTTAGGATGGACTGGTTGGATCTCCTTGCAGTCCAAGAGACTCTCAAGAATCTTCTCCAACACCACAGTTCAAAAGCATCAATTCTTTGGTGCTCAGCCTTCTTTATAGTCCAATTCTCACATCTATACATGAATACTGGAAAAACCATAGCTTTGACTATACGCATCTTTGTTGGCAAAGTAAAGTCTCTGCTTTTTAATATGCTGTCTACGTTGGTCATAGCTTGGCTGAGTACCATTCCATTGTACGTATAAACCGCATTTTCTCCGTATCTCAATGTACGTTTAGGTTTTCCCACACCTTGGCTCTTGTGAATAACCCTGCAAGGAACTTGGGAGATCAGAGGCCATTTCAGGATTTTGGTTTTATTTATTCTTTTTAGTAAACACAGAAGTGGGATTGGCTGGATGATATGGTGGTTCCATTTTTAATCTTTGGAGGAATCTCCTTACTTTTTTCCATATTGGCTGCAATAATTTACATTGTCAGTTCCCACCAACAGTGCACAAGTGTTCCAATTTCTACACATCTTTGCCAGCACTTATCCTTTCTCTTTCTCTTCCAATAGCCACTTGAACAGGTAGAACTCGGAGTGGTTTTGATATGTATTTCCACGATAATCAGCAATGTTGAACATCCTTTCATGTACCTGTTGGCTATTTGTACACCTTCTTTGGGAAAATGTCTATAAAAGCCCTTTGCCCATTTAAAAATATTGTTGTTTGTTTCTTTTACTACTGACTGCTTCTCATATATTTTGGATATTAAACCCCTATCAGATATATTTTGCAAATATTTTTCCCATTCAATAGGCTGCCTTTCTTCTCTGTTGCTTATTTCTTTTGTGCGCAGACCACTTTTGTTTCAGTGTAGTCCCACTTGTCTATTTTTGCTTTTGTTGCCTGTGCTTTTGGTGTGATATCCATGACATCATTGCCAGACCAATGTCACGAAGTTTTCCTCTATGTCTTCCAGGATTTTTACAGTTTGGGGTCTTATGTTCACATTTTTAATTCATTTGAGCTGATTTTGTGTATAAAGTAAGATAAAGATCCCATCTCAATCCTTGGCATATGGAAATCTAGTTTTTCCTGACACCATTTGTTGAAGAGAGAATGCTTTCCCTGTTGTATGTTCTCGGTATCCTGTCAAAAATCAAATAATCATATACGCATGGATTTGTGTCTACACTCTATTCTGTTTCACTGGTCTATGAATCTATTTTTATGCCATTATTACACTGTTTGGATTACTGTAGTTTTATAATACACTGGTAAATCAGGAAGTGTGATCCTCTAGCTTTCTTTATCTTTCTCAAGATTGTTCTGGCTACTTGTGGTCCCATATGAATTTTAGGAAATGTTTTCCTATTTTTTTAAAAGTGCCATTGATATTTTCATGAAAGTGAAATTCACAGTGATTGCAGTGAGTCTGGAGATCACTTTGGGCAGCGGGGACATTTTAACAATATTAAGTCATCCAGTCCATGAACATAAAATGTGTCTCCATTCATGTCTTAATTTAATTCATCAATATTTTGTAATTTTCAGGGTCCAAGTCTTTCATCTCTAAGTTTATTCCTGAGTATTTGATTCTTCATGTTGCTACCATAAATGGCATTGTTTTCTAAATTTCCTTTTCACGTGGTTCATTATTAGTATATAGAAACAAAACATTTGTCTATTGATTCTGTATCCTGCAATGTTATTGAATTCATTTATCAGTTCTAACTGCTGCTTTGATGAATCTTTACAGTTTTCTCCATATAATATTCTGTCATCTACAAACAAAAATATTTCTACCTCTTCCTTTCCAGTTAGGATGCCTCTTATTTCTTCTTCCTGACTTATTGTCTCCTCTGTATGTTAAGTGTCACATTGCCGCTTCCTCAGGCGGGCCTTCCCTGTCCATCCTGCCTCTGATTTTCCATCATGCCACTGTCTTCACTGTTTCCACAGCACCTGTCTATCACAACTAATTATGTTACACTCACCAGTGTTTTCACACGTGTGCTCAGAAGCAGGGGAATTTCCACAGCAGTGGGGGCGAGGGTGTCTGCCAATTCCCTGGGGTCGGGCCCAGTCTCCATGATGGCTCAGCACCCCACGCTGAGGAGTCCCATCAGGGCTTCAGGAGTCCCCCAGAAGAGACCCCACCTCTTCAGGGTGGCGAGGAGTGCCCGAGGAGACTGTCTGTGGGTGCTCAGCTCTCTCCAGAGGGTACAAAGGGGAGCAGAAACAGGAGGGGGCGTGGAGACGGGGCAGACAGCCTCCTGGGGATGGGCAGATGGTCACAGATCTGGTCTCGTCCACCCTCGGGCCTGGACCAGCCTAGGGGCTGAGCGGTGTGGGGGACGCGCTTGCTCGCTGATGACGATGATGACTCTGAGGCCCTCTGCTCAGCCCTTGTCCTGTGACCGGCTGTTCCCCACGCTCTGGGTCCCCGAGGATCTCCTTAAACGCTGCACAGTTGATGTAACACTCACACTGCCACCTGCAGCTCACTGCCCTGTGTGTCTCTGCACCGGGTCAATACCAACCTTTGAGGACCCTTCACCAGGAAACACAGGTCAGAAACTTCGGCCAAGACAGGAAAATGGTGAAGGAGGATCCACTGCCATGGGAGGAATCTGTCCACCGCTCACGTCACAGAATTCACTCGGCTCAGGGCACAGGCTTCAAGCTCCCAGGCTGAGTTTCCCTCACCGTGTGAGCACAGACAGGGGCTTGCCGGGAGGGGCACACAGCCCCCCCAGGCTGGACGCGCAGGGAGCATGTGTCCTGGCGTGCGGGACGGATGATGTGATGCTTCATGGGGATTCTTCCAGAGACGAGCAGAGCTGTAATTTCAGAGACAAATCAACACTCCTCGGCTGGCCTTAAACACAGTGTGCGTGTAGAGCCTGTCAGAGTGTGATTTACCAGTAAGCAGTGAGCCTGTCAAAGATTTATTCGAGTCATTACTGACAGACCCAGGGGTGGCCAAGCTGGAAAAGAGAATTGTGGGACCTGGATGTTTACAAGCAGGGGACCAAGGATGCTGAGAGAGATTGCTAGGTTAGAGGGAAAACAGGCTCACGTCCCACAGGGCGGCTGCACCGTGAGGTTTGGAGTTTTCTCTCTTTGCCACCTGATGTGAAGAGCCTGGAAAAGAGCCTGATGCTGGGAAAGATTGAGGGCAGGAGGAGAAGGGGAAGACAGAGGATGAGGTGTTAGGATGGCATCACCGATTCGATGGACATGAGATTGAGCAAACTCTGGGAGGTGGTGATGGACAGGGAGGTCTGGCACGCTGCAGTCCATGGGGTCACAGAGAGTCGGACACGACCTAGGGACTGAACAACAACAAAGTGTCAGGAATCGTTTGCATCCATATTGAGCAGAAGTCTACAAGTTCAAGCATAATTCCTCCAAGTGCTGGCCCTGCTCAGGAAATAATGTGCCAATAAGGGGTTTATTCCCCTAAAGAATGACACTACCTTCCCTAGGCCAGGGGTGACGCCCACAGAAAGGACAGCAGCCACCTTTACTCCTTATTTACAAGCAGAATATTAGAAAAGAGAAAATAGCATCACCACTTTTTGCAGATGATATTAGTTGTTTTTGTTGTTCAGTCACCAAGTCATCTCCGACTCCTTGTGACCCACGACTGCAGCACACCAGGCTTCCCTGTCCCTCGCTATCATCTCCTGGAGTTTGCCCAAGT